TTGGCCAGGCTGTGGTCTCGGCAACTCTCACTCGGTGATCTGCCTGCTTGGCCTCCCAAAGTGCTGGAATTGCAGGCATGATTTCATAATATGGACAGACCACCTAACCTCTCCACATAACAATTTCCTCATCCTTATGAGGGTGTAGTAGTAAGTTTCTAAATGTAGCATAGTGTTTAGTAGCACTTTGAAGTCAGACTGCATGGGCTTAACCTCTGGCTCTACACTTCAGCTCTATGACTTTGAGCAGGTTATTTAACTTCTCTGTGCCTCAGATTTCTCATCTGTAAAATACTCCATTGTGTATTGTTGATTAGATTAAGCAAATAAATATATGGAGAACTGTTAGAACAGTGTTTGACACATATGGAATTGTTAAGTGTATCCCTTCCAGCTCTTATGTCTTCTAATTTTTGAGGTTTTGACTCATCACCAGGTATCCACTGTGAACCCTACAACACTGGAATTACTTAAGAGGACTCATGAAGAACCATAATTAAAATATAGGACTTAGTCTTTAGATCTGCCATCACTACAACTGTATCAGAATAGGAAGTAAAATTAGATAATGCATCTCCAGTGGACACATTGCACAAATGTTTCCTTCTGAAACTTGTTCAGAAAGATGGCCTTAGCCGGGTGTGGTGGCTCATGCCTGTAATCCCAGCACTTTGGGAGGCTGAGGCAGGCTGATCACCTGAGGTCAGGAGTTCGAGACCAGACTCACCAACATGGAGAAACCCCACCTCTACTAAAAATACAAAATCAGCTGGGCATGGTGACACATACCTGTAATCCCAGCTACTTGGGAGGCTGAGGCAGGAGAATCTCTTGAACCTGGGAGGCAGAGGTTGTGGTGAGCCGAGATCGTGCCATTGGACTCCAGCCTGGGGCAACAAGAGCAAAACTCCATTTCATAAAAAAGAAGAAAGATTGCCTTAGGGGCTTAATTAAGAATATAAACAATGGAGTCTGCTGTCTCCCTGAGAGGCTAATATTCATTTGTAAATATTGACTGGACTGATGCCATTCTAATTACTTTGTTATGGTTCTCTTATTTCTGATGTTGGTAAGATCTGGCCACGGTTTGGGCATGTACTTACTGTAAAACACACTGTGCAATGGTGAGTAATATAGTTGTAACAGCATAACATGTGATGGAGGGTCAAAGGTGCTCTGGAATCAGAGTGAACTCCATAGACTAGCTTTTCCTAAGTCATAACAGTTGATTACCTGTAGTTCCCATTGAAAGTAGTAGTTACCCAAGTACCTTCAGTATAAGAAAAGTCAATATTTACAAATGAGGCAGGTGCGGTAAAGTCTTAGCTTCTCAGGAGGCGGAAGCAGGAGGATTACTTGAGCCCAGGAGCTTGAGTCCAGCCTGGGCAATATAGTGAGACCTTGTCTCTTTATTTTAAAAAAAAAAAAAAAAGCCAAGATATTTAATTTAGAGATTTTTAAACCACTCTTTAGAGTAGAATCCTTGATAAGTAAAACAGATTTTTAAAAAGCAGCACTACTCTGCTTGGATAGGCCAAAGTAAGTGGCCTGGAGCTGTGCTTACCAGACTTCTTCCTACTTATTTCCACTCCTCCCTGATGGCCTCCGAGTTTCTTTCAAGGAGCTTTAGGGCGCCTAAACTCACAGTTTAGGAAACGATGGTGTAATTGATTTTAGGTTCATTTTGCCTATAGCATAATATATATTTTCCCTTAAAATTGTAACTTATATAAAAAACTCAGTTCCTGTTTGTAGGTTTTAGATCCCATAATTTATTTTGTTTATTACTATTGCTATCTTCTGCTATCTTCCCCCATTGGGATACACTCTTACTCTTTTTTATTGAGACAGAGTCTCACTCTGTCGTAAGACTCTGGAGTGCAATGGCGAGATCTCAGCTCACTGAACCTCCGCCTCCCGGGTTCAACCGAATCTCTGCCTCAGCCTCCTGAGTAGCTGAGACTACAGTCACACACCACCATGCCTGGCTAATTTTTGTATTTTTAGTAAAGATGGGGTTTCGTCATGTTAGCCAGGCTGGTCTCAAACTCCTGGCCTCAAGTGATCCACCAGTCTCAGCCTGCCAAAGTGCTGGGATTACAGGCGTGAGCCACCACACCCAGCCAACACTTACTCTTAACCCTCTATTTGGAGGCAAACCTCTGCATTTTGTATGCTTTTGTGGATATGGGGTTGATTTATGGGGAGGCATGCCTAAAAATTCTCTGTTGAAAAGAACAACCTTTTAATTGTGAACTAGAACTTAATTAAATCTTGTATCCTCAGCTCAGACTGTTTCTTTTCATTCACTAGATTTGTCTGCCTCTGCTCATTCCAAGGTGGTGATCTTCACAGTCAACTCCTTGGGTAGTTCTCAGTCCTACCTTGATGTGGTACAGAGCAATGTGGATATGTTCAGAGCCCTTGTCCCAGCTCTGGGACATTATAGTCAACACAGTGTCCTGCTCATTGCATCTCAACCAGGTAAAATGCTTTATTTTAAATTAAGTTGATGGTCAAGTGCATCAGTAGAATTGCCATTATTGATAAAAACCATAAAACTTTAGGGCCAGGCACAGTGACTCATACCTGTAATCCCAACACTTTGGGAGTCTGAGGCGGGCGGATCACCTGAGGTCAGGAGTTCAAGACCAGCCTGGCCGACATGGTGAAACCCCGTCTCTACCAAAAATACAAAAGTTAGCCAGGCATGGTGGCGGGCGCCTGTAATCCCAGCTACTTGGGAGGCTGAGGCGGGAGAATTGCTTGAACCCAGGAGGTGGTGGTTGCAGTGAGGCCGAGATGGTGTCACTGCACCCCAGCTGGCCAACAGAGCGAGACTCTGCCTCAAAAAACAAAAACCAAAAAACAAACAAAACCTTTAAATTATAAAGAGACGGCTAGAATATTCAGCAAAATTGCCTATATAATAAACAGTGTAGTATTCTGGCAACCAGTTACTTGTTATGACTAACGTGATCTAGAAGGTTCCAGCATACAATTTTTTAATGAAATATGATATTCTAGGTTTTCAGGATTTGGTCTCGTCTCTTGACCTCGTGATCCACTCGCCTGGCCTCCAACAGTGCTGGGAAATTATAGGCGTTGAAGCACCCGTGCCCCTGGCCCATAACATAATTTTTTAAATATGACATTAGAAACACTAACAAGGTTTCAACAAAGAATACCATTTTTACTCTGTGTGTGTGTGGTGTATGTGGGTGGGTGGGTTGGGTGTGTGTGTGTGCTTTTTTTGAGATGGAGTAATTGGCTCTGTCCCCCAGGCCTGGAGTGCAGTTGGCACGATCTGGGCTCACTGCAACCTCTGCATCCCAGGTTCAAGGGATTTCTCCTACCTCAGTCTCCCTTAGTAGCTTGGGCATTACCAGGCGCCCACCACCCACCGGCTACTTTTTGTATTTTTAGTAGAGACGGGGTTTCATCATGTTGACCAGGCCTGGTCTCGAACGCCTGACCTCGGGTGATCCACCTGCCTCAGGCCTCCCAAAAGTGCTGGGATTACCAGGCGGTGAGCCACTGTGTCTGGCCAAATTTTATGTGTAATATTATAT